GGCAGAATACATTGGTGACATCTTTGAATTTTGGCTTGGAATGCTCGAGCTGGGAATTCAGTTCCCCACAATGTTCAATGGGTGGGGAAAGAACATTGATAGTTGCCTTGCTGGACTTGAAGAATCTTTCTGGCTATTCAGCAGCTCTTGTCGCCACACCGAGACCATCAACACGAAACGCAATCGATCAAGGAAAGCCTACATCCCTTCAGTCGAGAACGAGATGGTGATAGCGATTCTGAGAGAGGGGAAGATTTTTGATCTACTCATTCAAAAGGAGATCACAAGGATGCCTACTATTCCAACAGCGAACTATGATGACAATCCCGAACTGATTGAGGTCTCATCCAGTGAAGATGAAGAAGAAGAACCTGAGGTCATTGAACCAGAAGAAGACCCTTCGTCGCCTACGGCGCGTGGGACTCGGATGGAGCAAACTTCAGGCGAAACTGGCGCAGGGGAGGGTGATGACATTGAGGTGGATGATGATGCAGAGGACATGGGGGGTCAACCGTCCGAGGCGAAGAAACGCCGAACGGAAGTTCGAATTCTCCGTGATCAGTTTGAGAAGGTAGTCGCAGATGCATCGAATGTCCGATATTGTCTGGTATGTGGAGGCAATCACAATATCGATGAATGCCAAGCACAGGACAACGAGGCAGTGATTGATGCAATCGTGCGCGTGAGACTGATGATGGAACAACAGTCGAAATCCCCATCTTCTTCTGAAAGATCAGGAGCAGCTACAAGAGGAAGAAAGGACAAGCTCCCAAAGAAAGGAATCATGCCTGAAGGAAAGAGATGGAGAAGGACCAGGTTCACCGAGAAGGAAGAAGTAACCAAGAGCTTCTACAGTCAACCGGCATTTATGTACGAGATTGGTGATCGAGAAGAAGGTGGTTCCTTCCTTGTGAACGGAGTTGAAGTTCATCCTCCCGGGCAAGGCGTGAGAAATCGTCAAGAGCTTGATGCACTTGTCGAAAGAGCCGCCGAAGATTCTCCTCCAGTACTGCCATCGATCCAAGAGCTCAATGAACTGAACCCCAAGAACGCAGAGCAATTCCGAAAATGGATGGAAGAGCAACGATCCGAACATGGTACCAACTGGAATTTCCGTTATCTTCAACCATACACCTACGGCCATGACGTTGGCGTTCTCCAAATGGCCCGACTATCTGGTGAAGAGTACGTTGGCAATGGTTGGTGCAATGTCAGGAAGTATGCCGAGAACGAATGGATGGGAAGGAAATGGGAGACACCTCAATGGGAAATTGATCTGTCAAAGAGATTCAATGCCGCTCTTCGTCACTCCATTGGTTGTATCAAAGACAAGAGAGATCACTTTGGACTACCCTGCGATGAAGCTGGATGGGTCAATGTCGAACACATCATGAAGTACGACCACATATGGAGAGATGGATACACCCTGGCAGGAACTTCAGAACCTGACTACAAGGTCATTGTGGAGAGATGGAACAATTTCCAGAAGATCATTTTCGCTGAGTACAAACAAAAGAGAAGGATTAGAGCACAGATCCTTGGTTTGAAAGTCACAAAAGGTGAATTGGAAAGGTTCTTGAAAGCAGACAATGCATTCACGAAGAGGATCAACCGCCAAAGACTGAGGATCGAGATCGGCAACGATGATCGAGAGATATGGCTTTGGCCAGTGGCGATCAGAGCACCGATGGCTCATTCCAGGATTCAAGGCGGAGTTCGAATCGACGACAGCAAAACCTCTTATTTGATGAACCCTGGTGTAGGATACACACTTGGAGGTGGTTTCCACTGCACGACATTTGAATGCATAGCGCAGATCTTCAGAGAGGGCTTGCGCCCAGGAGGAGGAGGAGGAGACCGAATCAATACATTTTTCGTACCATTCGCGCCATGGGATGAGAGGAGTAAATCGGTTTTGAGATTCAGGAAAATTGAAGGTGCGGACTTGGTCTACATCTACATGTCGTATGAATCTATAGCCAAATTTGCTCCACGACACATCCTGGTGCAGCAGACGATCCCATTCAGTGCCTTTGATGCAGTATGGCATTATGATTGGAACGGAAAAGAGTACTATCGTCTGATGGTCACAAGAGGTTACGAACAACTCGTGCTGTCTGTGAAGGATGCAAAGAAAATTGCAACCCTTGATCGATTTGACAGCCTCCTCAAGAATGTTGTGCCTGATGATTCATCTCCAGATCTGAGTGAGCTCCGCAAACTCATCGACATCAAGACAGCGCATGAAAGTTTCACATGTCGACTTTTCCCACAACACAATGATTGGTATGATGCCATTGCATTGCTCGCACTTACTCATCGTCCAAACAAAGAAGGTCACAGACTTTGCCCAGCATGTCTATGTGAGACTCCGGCGACACTATCGATTTGTGTATTCTGCAAAGGATACCTAATCAGCCACGGATTCAGAAAACGTGTCAAGATCACCGTCGCCAGCGTTCCGACTGCTGAACAACGTTCGCACGAGGATGACGTCAAGGATCATGTCAAACAAACCTGGGAGAAGATCAAGATCGACCTGACAAGTGACAACGAGGAAAACGTGGAAGTCGAACAAGACGATGATGTCGAAATGAAAAGTCCGCAGGAAGAATCCCAACAAGACAATGACGACATGAGTCAGAAGTCGGACGTTGACGAGCTCAAATCGGAGAAGAGGGACTTCAGGCAACAAGATGAAGTTGATGAATACCTCACAGAAGAACGTGAAAAGGCCGAGACAATAGAAGAGGAAGGAGCAGATGATGCCAACATCGACATCGGAGAATACCATGCTGGAGAGGCAAGGAATGTCAACATTGCATACCCCGCATGGATGAAACGAGTAGAATTTGGATCCAAAGTTCTACCTTCCGAACCATGTCAGATTGGCGACGCTCAACCCGACCTCATCAAGATTTTGTTGCTGCAAATTGGAAACAACATACTCAGAATTTACAGACACTTCCAACGGAATTTCTGTGATGATGTTGAGTGTGGATGGCAACAATTTCAAAGAAACCCTAGTTACCGATTGGACCTTGACCCCAGAGTTCCATACCTAGGGGAAGATGATGATGGATTTCTCATTGAGCCGACAGATGATCAGATGAGAGAGCTCTACCAAGAGGTCGGCAACCCGAATACGAAAGACGATCTGGGAGAAGAGGGCTTCACCAATGCGTATCATGGTTCCCTTGTATTCAAGAAGCTGGTCACGTACATACTGGAATGTGGATATGAATTCTCTGATTTACAAATGATATTTGGCGACGAGAACATCCAACAATTAGCAAAAGGTGACACTGCTGAAGAAGAAATGAGGAAATCAATGCTTGCCCGTAACTCACTGGACGCACAATCGACGTTTATTCGACGAGTGATCGCTGGAGCATACCAAGTGACTGCTGTCTATTTCTTCAGAAATGTGGATTATCAGGCCGCAGTGACACTTAATCCAGTCGACATTCTTTGTGCTTGCCGACCACAACTCAGACGCATCGCTGTCATGCACTTGATTCTACAAAATGGCCAGCGACTACCTGGACCACTACTGAACAGGTTATGCGATGCAATTGAGGATCACAACAAAAGCAAGAGACGTGATGGACAAAAACCAAGATGGGGAGCACATATGACGGAAGCTCATGTAGCTGCAATTGCCTACATGCCTACGGCCGAAGACGTCCGCAGGACCGCGGAAGCCAAGGCCAAAGCCATACCGAAGCCCAGTGCTACTCATGATGCAGGACCATCACACTCTGCTTCATCAACCGACGCAGGAGAAGCTGCCCCATTGCCAAAACAGGCTCCAAAAGCACCTCCAAAATGGGAAAACCGCGGAGCTGGCAGAGGAACACCCTCACATCGAGGTGGCGATTGGAATTCGAACTACACAGGACGCAACTATGGATACAGAGGATGGAGATAACGGTATCTGACCTCTGCATAGGCCCTATTGCTATGTACATGGATCAGCAATCAATGTTCGAAATCAACCTCTTCTTTATGTCCGATGGCTATTGAGAGGAATCTGAGCCGGCTAATTCACGTGATTTACATCCGAATTTTTTTTGGATACGATGCTATCTGAAACGCAATGCATCGTGAGTTGAATTTCGACTGCGGTCTAAGTCTCATTTCTTTGTCTTAGATGAGCAGGAGTGTAATCTCTAGCTCCATTTTCGTTTTCGTCTTTTGTAGCTGATGTCATGCATGTATGAAACCCTTTGCCGGCAACGCCGCAATGGGTGAATTTCAATGTCATGTGCAGATGCTGAGTCTTTTGTGTAGACAGATGTAGACGTAGCAAGCCGCGGTGAGAACTTTCGACTCTCCATAATTAAATCAATGTAAATGCAGAATGAGGGACTTTAAAACGACTCTCCTGCGCGTGACTGATAAAATCAGTCATGCGTGGGGGGTGCGAATGGGGACACAGTAAGAGCAACACTTATACTTCCCCATGTAAATAGTCGTTTACCTCCATATGCCAAGGGGCCATAATACCATTGGTCCATTTTGGCTCAAGAACCCCATACTGCATAGTCCAAGCGGAAAAAGAGCAATGCCGAAGCTCGCCTCCTGTTGACCATTGGCAAACGCGAAACTGATCTCTCAATACCAGATACAAGGACACATACAAGGGAACGTCCGATTCACACATACATACATACATACATACATACATACATACATACATACATACATACATACACACACACACACATCATGTGTGCGGGTATATATATATCATGGATGTCTATATATATATATGCTTATATGTATGTATATTGATTCTATCATTCTATCATTCTGTCATTCAATCAATCCATCTATCTAGCTATTTGTCCAGCCATCAATCCATCCATCTATCCATCTTTTGGAAATAAGGACAGCAAATATGAGCAAATGACAGCATATATATATATATATGAGTCCATATATATATATACACATGCATATACACACATTATACAATTCAGTGCCAAAAGAGTCAGGACGACCTTCATCCTGGTGTCCGTTGGGACTATGCTCTTTGGATCGGTGCAATCCGTCTGTGTGGAGATCGTACAGCGCAGGACGAGGGCCTGAAACCCCGTCTGGGATTGGTAGTTGTTGCAGTTTTGATGGGGAACATGAAACTTAGAATGAATATATATATAATATAATATATATATATATCATAAAACTATCAGATAATATATATATATCATACCAGTAGTACCCGCACGAGGCGGGGCGGAAGTTGCCTTAGGGATATATAAGAACTTTCTCATCTATAGAACTTGCATGCGCCGTGCGCCAGCGAAGCCCGTGCGTGCGTGCACTCTGCGAAAGTTGTGTCCTGTTTCACATGTCACATGTGAAGCTCCACTTCGCACTTCACACTTCCCACTGCACTCTTCACACTCCACACTTCACGCTTCACACTGCACTCTTCACACTCCACACTTCACGCTTCACACTCCACACTTCACACTGCACACTGCACTCTTCGCACTCCACACTTCTCACTTCTCACTGCTTTCCTTACACTCCACACTTCACACTTCGCACTCCGCACTGCACACTGCACTCTTCACGCCCCACACTTGACACTGCACTCTTCACACTCCACACTTCATCTCACCTGAGCTCTTCTCACCTTATCCTAGCTCATCTCTTCTCATCTCATCTTTTCTCATCTCATCTAAGCAGCAAAAGACAATAGTATTACGCATGCAGCCGCGGCACCGAGCAACCTTGACGCAGCCACTACAATGCGATCTGCAGACACTGAGTTGCAAAACACAATAGAACTACGCGCAACAGTATCGGAAATTGCACCTCCAAAACCGGATCTCGACGCCAAAGCAGAAAAAAGACGATTTTGAAGCGCTTTTTAAAAGGAGTTTTAAAAGGAAAATGACTACTGTGAAAATTGCGAAAATTTGCTGACAAATCACTGTCGCAGCCTGGATGCAGCCACTCCAATACGATTTACGATCTTCAGATGCAAAAGACGATAGTATTCCGTAGGCAGCCGCGGCACCAAGCAACCTTGATGCAGCCATTACAATGCGATCTGCAGAGACTGAGTTGCAAAACACAATAGAACTATGCGCAACGACGTCGGAAACTGCAGCTTCAAAACCGGATCTCGACGCCAAAGCGAAAAAAAGACGATTTTGAAGCACTTTTTAAAAAGAGTTTTAAAAGGAACATTAAAAGGACCAAAAATGTGAAAATCTGCTGACAAATCACTGTCGCAGCCTGGATGCAGCCATTCCAATACGATTTACAATCGTCAACTGCACAAGACAATAGTATTACGTAGGCAGCCGCGGCACAAAGCAACCTTGACGCAGCCATTACAATGCGATCTGCAGAGACTGAGTTGCAAAACGCAATAGAACTACGCGCAACAGCGTCGGAAATTGTAGCTCTAAAACCGGATGGATCGACGCCAAAGAGAAAAAAAGACGATTTTGAAGCAATTTTTGAAAGGAATTTTAAGACGAAAATCACTAGCGCCAAAATTGAGAAAATCTGCTGACAAATCACTATCGCAGCCTGGATGCAGCCACTCCAATACACAGCCCATGCAACATTCATGCAGCCATGCCAATGCGATCAGCAACCACAGCTTCAAGAAACGCATAGAACTACGCACACAGGAACAACCACTTGTTGCAAAACACATAGAAGGAACAATTCGCGACAGAAACGACCCCGCACAGACGAGGTACCTTTCATCGCCGGCTGCAGCCACTTTACACGGAAAAACACAAGGTTTCGTGCTCCGGCTTCCTCCCCAAAACAAAGCCCATGCAACATTCATGCAGCCATTACAATGCGATCTGCAACCACAGCTTCAAGAAACGCATAGAACTACGCACACAGGAACAACCACTCGTTGCAAAACACATAGGAGGAACCGATTGAACTCGAAACGATCCAAACCGCAACCGCCGCACAGACGAGGTACCTTTCATCGCCGGCTGAAGCCACTTTACACGGAAAAACACAAGGTTTCGTGCTCCGGCTTCCTCCCCACAACATAGCCCATGCAACATTCATGCAGCCATTACAATGCGATCTGCAACCACAGCTTCAAGAAACGCATAGAACTACGCACACAGGAACAAGCATTGTTGCAAAACACATAGAAGGAACCAAACGACCCCAGCCGCAACCGCCGCACAAACGAGGTAGCTTTCATCGCCGGCTGCAGCCACTTTACACGGAAAAACACACGGTTTCGTGCTCCGGCTTCCTCCCCAACTCACCACTTCCCTTCCTCACCGCTTCCCATCATCACCACTTCCCATCGTGACCACCTCCCTTCGTCCACTTCCCTTCGTCACCACCTCCCTTCCTCACCACTTCCCATCGTCCCCACCTCCCTTCCTCACCATTCCCCTTCATCATCACTTCCCTTCGTCACCACTTCCCATCGTCACCACTTCCCTTCGTCACCACTTCCCTTCGTCACCACTTCCCTTCGTCACCACTTCCCTTCGTCACCACTCGTCACCACTTCCCTTCGTCACCACTTCCCTTCCTCACCACTTCCCTTCGTCACCACTTCCCATCGTCACCACTTCCCTTCGTCACCACTTCCCTTCGTCACCACTTCCCTTCTCACCACTTCCCTTCGTCACCACTTCCCTTCTTCACCACTTCCCTTCGTCACGACTTCCCTTCTTCACCACTTCCCTTCCTCACCACTTCCCTTCGTCACCACTCCCCTTCATCATCACTTCCCTTCTTCACCACTTCCCTTCGTCACCACTTTCCTTCTCCACCACTTCCCTTCCTCACCACTTCCCTTCGTCACCACTCCCCTTCATCATCACTTCCCTTCTTCACCACTTCCCTTCGTCACCACTTCCCTTCCTCACCACTTCCCTTCCTCACCACTTCCCATCGTAACCACATCCCTTCGTCACCACCCTGTGTCATAGCTTCTTATTCTTTTGTTATGTATTGTCATGTGATCTACCACCCTTCATCATAGTCAATTTCATCGCTTCTTATTCTTTTGTTATGTATTGTTAGATTATGTTTTGTTATGTGGTCTACCACCCTTCATCATAGTCAATTTCATAGCTTCTTATTCTTTTGTTATGTATTGTTGGATTATGTTTTGTTATGTGATCTACCACCCTTCATCATAGTCAATTTCATAGCTTCTTATTCTTTTGTTATGTATTGTTAGATTATGTATTGTTATGTGATCTACCACCCTTCATCATAGTCAATTTCATCGCTTCTTATTCTTTTGCTATGTATTGTTAGATTATGTATTGTTACATGATGTACCACCCTTCATCAGAGTCAATTTCATAGTTTCTTATTCTTTTGTTACGTATTGTTGGATTATGTATTGTCACATGATCTACCACCCTTCATCATAGTCAATTTCATAGCTTCTTATTCTTTTGTTATGTATTGTTAGATTATGTATTGTTAGATCACGTACCACCCTTCATCATAGTCAATTTCATCAAGTAAAAGTCATTCGTAACTCGGAAGTATTGCTTCCCAACTTCCTTTGATAAATATTTTACCCGCACTCTAATCTAATATATCATCTTGTTTTTTTTCTGTACCCTTACTTTTGAACAAACCCGTTGATGGCTTGGTATCATCTAGATCTATTTGGTTCATTGGATGTTTTTGTTGCAAACTGACGCGATTCAAGAATTGAGCCCTATGAAGGGATGAGGTTTCGGACCATTGCTCAGTTGGTTCTCGTTGCTCAGTTGGTTCTATAAAGTTCTATTTTTGTTTCTTACCATCCTCCAAAGTTCACTTTTTCTGGGGTGGCTTGAAATCTCAGTCTGGTGCTATGCTACACTTGACGTCTCCTGAGTCTCCTGCTACTTAAAACATCGCTAGTTGGGGTCCTTGAGAGAAACATGTGAGGAGTGAAAACCTGTACCATAATACTTCGGTGGGATGAACATCCATTCGGCAGGGTGAGCTGATTCACAGCCATGTACAGTCCGATCATTTTGCGACCTGCAAACTGAAGTGCCGCTCTCCAACAGAGTTCTGCATTCTGGCCACAACCTTGCACTGCTTGCAAAACGCAGAGTTATTTACATTCTGGCAAGCTAACACAGCTATGGAACATCACAATTTTTCACGGGTAAATCAACTATAAATAACAGTTTTCCACTGCTATGTTTGTTTGCCCAAGGTAACATTATTCCCCTTTTCCCTAGTATGAAATACGAAGGTTTAGTATTGGATCTATTCATGGCTTGGGGGAAAAAATGTGGCATTTGAATGGGTGAATGTTGGAGATGTGTCTTGCAGCAGACACACGTCGCAGGATTACCTGTGATGTTCGCACAGAAACTTGGCCAACGTATTTATTTTTCGTCAATTTTTTTTTGGGAGATTCTGAGAGTGCAGATTCTGAGAGGCTCAGCATCATCAACCACAAGTGGATGATTGAGTAAGGGGAAACAACAAGTGACTAGTGGGTCCCTCATGAAAGGTACCCTCTTTGAGGTACCCCTCAAATCACATCAGGTAATGTTCGAGAGCCTGATCAAGCAAGACATTGCCTTCTTTGACGGCACCATGACTGGCCCCCGGGCAGCAACTTGTGGAAGGGGATGATTCGAAATCCAGCGATGCCCAGGAAATCAGTGCAACCAGGATATAAATTCTGAACTTCGTAGCCTATCCGTAGCAAAAGGCGGACAGAGGTTCCAAATGGCTAGTGACTAGTGCTTGCCAGTTTGCCACATTGGCCATGCAATAGCAAGGGTTTTTTGGTAACCTTAGTGGTGCTTCCCCAAGTAAGCATCACAACCATTTTGGTGGAATTTCGAGGATTCTCAGCCATTTCAAAAAGACAATTTTTGGGCAGTTTGGTAGTCTTATACCATTCCTTAGTCAAACATGCCTTTCTGGAAAATCCCCGATTCATAGTGGATTTCCACACCAAGATCATGTTCAGTTTTGGACCTCCATTCTGTTCGAGGATTTTCCCGGCCAGCCATGTTTCATCACCGAAGGGTAAATCCATGACTATCGTATTCTTATCCCGTTATTATACCCCTAGTAAACCACATATTTTGGATCATTATCCCAACAATAAACCTTGCCATTATCCCATAGTGGTCATATTTACTACTACTGATTTCATTGTTACTATACTGATATTGTTACCCATCATAACTATACTGATATTGTTACCCATCATAAACGTCTCAGAAAACCTCCATTTCATGGGAGGTTGCGCAGGGGCGGGCCGTTGTGGGTGGCTCCCAAGGCCAGCTCACCTCGCGCATGACCAACGACGTGGCGGCGGTGGTGCAGCCGGTGAGGCAAATCATGTGGCTAGGCGCAGGCTTCAGCGGAGAAAATCAGGGATTAGGATAATCCCACCGAAAAAAATGGCTTATTATTTGATTGTATATGTTTGAACTATATGTAGGTATATATGTATATATATATGTATAATATACATGTATATACTATATATATATATATGTATATATATATATATGTATATGAAAAATGTGTGTGTATGTATATATATATAAGGATGATATGTATATACTGTATATGTATACACACATACATTTTTTTTTTGATTTGGGAATGGGTGTACGTATTGCGTGCTCTTGTTGATTGCCATAAAAGTGTGTGAAATGGGCGAACTTTTCCGAATGAAAAGCCGACCTGGGATTTCTGCAAGATGATCGAATCGCACGAAATGGCGCAGTTTTAGGTAGATATGCTGGATTTTAATTTCTCCCAAACTGTTGATTTTCCATGTCTTGTTGGCTTTTCAAGAGATGTTGGAAGGTCGAAACATTAATTTTTGTCGGATCTTTGGAAAATCGAACCAGATTTCGAAGAATATACATGCTAGTGTCAACTTGGATGTGCATCCCAGTCAGAAAGTGATTCACAACAAAAAAAGTGTAAACATATCATTTGGGTTAAGTAACCCCTCTTTTTTTAAAATAAAAATCCTGGATCCTCCAAGAACACACAGCCTTTGCGCGTTTGAGGAACACCTTCCTGACAGCCATTCTGCGGCTCATTGGGGGTCTCTTTATGTGCCTCCTTACCTCCTGGAAACTCACAGCTGCTCGGTGGGTGACCATTTGGAATTTCGCTTTAACTGAACAAAGAACCATTGTCATATATGTTCCATTCACATTCCATGAAAATAATCCATGAATGATCCATTAACCCATTATATACCCATCATTCCCCATTGTCATTGCGGCAAAAACTGAGGTTCTGGCCGCCACAATGATTGGCCCAGTAGTGTACCTCACTGGAGTCTATGCCAAATGGTCCAAGCTCCATGGCTTGCCATGGATCCCTTAAAAGGTCCTGGGTTGCGATAGGTGTGGTAGGAGTTTTTTGAATCTGAAGTGAATCTTTTCGGGTTTTGACATATAAATTTAATAAAAGTCAGATTACTGATGTCATTATTTTTCATTGGCGTTTTTTGTCGGTGGACCAATCATTTGGCGCCCTACTGGCCATACCACCCATGTTGAGCAATACAGTAAGTTGAAACAACAATTGTAGCCACTGATTGTTGGTCCCATCCAAATAGAGAACACGGACGTTGGTATCTTGGAATAATTTGAACCAGTGGGTTCTGGAAGCCAAACCCCAGCGACCTGCCCATTGGACTTACAGATTTAGTGGGTTCTTACCAGACTTATTTATTTCTATACTATACACATATGATATATGATCGAAGGAAGTTTAGAAGTCAAACTTCCGACAATATGGACAGATTCAAAAGCAGAGGTGGGAAGAGTCAGAGAAGAGAAGAGCAGAAGAGAGAAGATCAGAGAAGAGAAAGAGTGAGAAGAGAGAAGATGCAGGTGCGCGCTCAAAGGTGCCTCTAGGTTGGAGACCTGTAAGCCAAGAGGTTTGCGCCGTGGGCTTCACCAAGAACAGACAATTATGCCTGCCTCGGGGCAATGTTTCTTGATATTAGTTGATCCATCATGCCTGGTTTTTTCTTTTCAGAGTTCGTCAGTCAGTGTCAAACGGGAATCCAACTGACAGCCCAAGACAAAGTTCATTTCTGCATTTTCTGGCAGATTTTCGATGTTTTTGGTTAAAGAATCATATGTTTATATGCCCCAAAAATAGGTTATATACACACCTTGTTAAATCCCGTCATTTTTTGACAGGTATTACTTCAAACCCCGGGTTCCAAACTAGTTCCATCCATGTGCCGAAAACCGAAGCCCAATAACTGGTTTGTTGAATTACAATACGTTTGTTTGGCTAATGTGTGGCTTTGTGAATTGGGGCCCTGAAACACATTTGCCTTCCTTCAAATATATATTTTTATAACAACTTAAAATCCATCTAAATCCATGTGTATGTGCTAGGATTCCCACATATTTGTTGGCATGCTAAGGCAGCAAAGTCGCGAAACACTGTGTTTTTCCGATGATTTGTGGCTCCGGAGGGTCGAAAAGTAGGCTCGCTAAAGCGGCGGGTGCGGAGCCATGTGGCCAGATGAGAGATAAAAAATTGCACGCCGTTGTGGCGCGAAGCACATTTAGAAGTCAAAATGTACAAGCCAAACCATGCTTGGAGCACTTTTTAAAATGCAACCCCTCTCAGGAAATCAGCGCCCTGACCTCCTAACATCTCTGATGAGCTTGTACTGCGCCTGCCACGGAAAATGCATCTTTCCAGATCCTCTTCAAATGTCCCACGCCTGCCAACGCTTTTGAAACTGCTACAAATGCACAATCCCTTGTGCCTGCCACGCAAAACGACATCTGGACGTCCAAAGTGGTCCGAGCATGTGGTGTTTTTAACACTTTGACTTGGAAATGTGCTTTGCACCACAACGGCGTGCATTTTTTAGACATCTCAACTTCTGGAGCATCAGATCTTCAGTTTTGGGAAGATGATTTTGTGTGACAGGTGCAGCAATTTGTATGAGCTATTTTTTCGTGGCAGGCGCAATACTTCAGAGACATGGGCTGAAAAAATCGCAAAACGCATTGGTACGAGGCCGTCAGCTCTGCACTCAACTTTCCATTATTGAAGGAAGTCTCGCAGAATTGCTTCGCTTTTGATGTTGCCAACTTAAAGAATTGAGGAAGTCTCGCAGAATCGCTTCGTTTTCAAGCTTGCAGATAGACAGATAGATAGATAGATAGATAGATAGATAGAAAGATAGACAACTGCAACTACAACTAACTACAACTATCTTGCACTGCACTACGCTAAGTACAGTACACTACATTACAGCTACAACTACCACGACAACTACAGCTACAACTACCACGACAACTACAGCTACAACTACCACGACAACTACAGCTACAACTACTACAACTACTGCAACTACTACAGCTACAACAACAAGAACTACTACAACAACTACTACTTCTACTTCTACTTCTACTTCTTCTACTACTACTACTACCACTACCACCACCAGTGCTACTAGTGCTACTAGTGCTACTAGTGCTACTGGTACTAGTACTACTAGTACTACTACCACAAAACTACATTACACAACACTGCAAAATACACTACACTACAACTACAGTTGCACGACACTACACTGCAACTACAACTACACTACTTCACACAGACTACACTTTACTACACTACACTTTACTACACTAGAGTACACAACAGGACAGTACACTACACTACAGTACCCTACACTACATTACACTACGCTACTTTACAACTACAACTACACTACATTAATTACACTACACTACGCTACAACTACACTCCACTACAACTACAACTGCTGCACTACACCACACAACATCCAGCAGTTGTGGGTGAGGTGACCACTGCAACCATTGCAGCCTTTCCAAAACACAACTCCAACCACCTTTCGGTCCAACAGTGGATTTGCTCTGCCATCCGGGATTCACAACAACCAACTTCTCCTATAGGTTCCCTATTTTTGAAACTTCGGTCACCGCCTTGTGCGGTACAACTGGTATATGACACATGATGTATGATTATATGACATATGATACACACACACAGACTTACAGACTTAAATTGTGGTAAATCACATTAAATGCACCCGTCTTCATCCGCATCTCCATTCCCATCTTCATCTGCCGTCCTAGGCAGGTCAACATGTCCATCCGCGTGTCCATGGCGGAGGCCAATGCTGTGTCCACCGAAGCGCTGCGCAACATCCGCACGGTGCGATCTTTTGGGGCCGATTTGCTGGTGTCTGGGACGCGTTGGAGGCGGAAAAAATCAGGATTTTCACAGGGAAAATGTGGGAAAATGAGAGGCTTTGAAATTTTGAAGTTTTTAACAAAGGGATTTTTCAGGTACCAAACCCACATGGTTCTGGAAAGTCATGGAAAAAATGGGTTTTGAGATGTCCATGATCTTGAAATCGATGATTTTCTGTGGCCACGTTGGGTTGCCAAAGGGGAAACATCATTTCCAAAATTCCGAACAATTAATTCACCTCAATTGTCGGGTCAACAGTTGCTTCCACCTCCAAATTGTGATGGTTGAAACATATTAATTATTAAAAAACAAAAACCAATCTATATTGTTTGCATGGTCTGGAATTGTTGACCCATATCCGATTCCCCAAAGGAAGAGGTTGATATTCCCAAACTATGAAAAGGATTTTCCGACAAAATTCAACATCCAGCTTGGAGAGTTGCAAGTTTGCCGCAACTCTCAGGAAGTTGGCGCCTTTAGGCAACACATGGATACAGCGCTGCAGAACGGTGGGGAACCCTGGGTTTTTGCCAAGGTCGTGTCCAGGATGTGCAACGTTACAGAGGGCGCAAATGAACAATGCAAACTTTGTTTGTTGAGGGTTCCATGACTTAAATGATGGGTTATACCAACTGGATCAACTGGTTTCCTTGTCAATTACAATCCAGGGGAACTCGCCGTCCTACCAGCTTCGGAGATGAAAGTCACTTGTGTGCATTCAAGGTATGAAGGATTCCTATGCCTCCGCTGGGGTGTCAGCCATCACTCAATACCTGGACTTTGCCGCCACTATCTTGATCTTGTGGCATCTGGGCTGCATTTCTGATGGGGGCTGCAAATCTCAGATGGGCTTCTTCATTGGACCTGCTGCTAGAGCAGCTTGATTGCTCGAAGATCGTTTTCTCTAAACCCGATTTACTGAGATGTGGATGCGGTCTTGATCTTCCTTATGTCGTTTTGTTCAACATTGCAAATGGTAGTGCGACTGGTTTCTTTGATCCAAGTGCGGTTCGCCAGGTATGGCGGCTATGCAGTACTTGGCGAAGGGCAGAGTGATTTGCAGCCACTGGTCTTAGCCCTGGCAAGCATTTGGCACGCATCATGCATGGCATAATATGGCAATCATCCACATCTACACCCGAAATCTATGGTTAGTGGCGCCCAAGTTTCAGCCTTGACAAGTTGACAAGTGTTGGAAGAAAATGCCTTTGCCCTTTATGTTTTTGCCCTTTGGGAATCTAAGCCCAAACTGGACAATGTATACACATGGTATACCATTCAACGCTCTTGAACATACAGTATAGATTTTCATTGCAAGGCAAGATTACCACAAGCAAGGGAATTTCATAGGATTTCCATATTTAACCGCCGCTGGCGTGTTCCGCCGGCCACGTGGCTCCCAGGTGAAAGGGTCCAAGGTGTTTGGAGCATTGAGTATATCATTAGACATTATCGTACAGACTTACATGGACATATACATATATACCTACACCTAGATACTTACATATATTTACCACGATGCATTGGTGTCCACAGCTCAGAGGCGTTGGGTGCCACATGTGCGTTACTGATAATCAGCTGGGCGCCAGGAATGACGTTTGACAATAGAGAACACCATACGAAATAAGAAGCAGAAGGCAGGCGCAAGGCACGCAGTTAAGGAGAACATGGCTGGCGTGTCAGCAACGTCCATATCTCGTAGTATTTTTGTTGTCATGATATTACATAAATGATGCCAGATGAAATTAGAGAATATTTGATACCATACGAAATAAGAAGCGGAAAGGGGCGGAGGGGCAAGGAGTGCAGGAGGACCAGTGGCTGGCATGTATGTATCAGGCAACATCAAACATAAGCAGAGCCAAACGACATCCACAGGACACGCCGAGAAATGAGCCTATGACGTTTGACAATAAATTACCAAATAGAAATAAGAAGCAGAAGGCAGGCGCAAGGCACGAAGTGAAGGAGAACATGGCTGGCTTGTCAGCGACGTCCATATCTTGCTTTTTTGTTTTCATAATATAATATGAAAGGGGGGGTGGGGGGGGGGGTCGTAAAAATCCGCGCGGAGGGAAAGATTACAGCTAAACATAAAACATATACAAGCAACATCCACAAGACACGCCGGCAGGCCGGCGGATTCCTACAAATGAGGACCATTCCCATCAACCGTCCATGTAGACTTTTTGACTTCTCAGGATCGGTAACCTCATCACCTTCAACCTGTACTGGAATATGCTCAATGCAGCTGTGATGCACAGAAACACTCAGAATACGCTTTCCGATGTTGCAATTTTTTGGAGAATTGGGCATGCCTGACAGCTTTGATAAAGCCTGAAGATCGGTTTATTCATATTTTGGTCCTAAGAGATGGTTGTGCAGTCGATTTCACAGCTGGAAAAGTCGGGGTGCAGAGGGGTCAGCTCTGGACTTCTGCGCACCGCTTTGGCTCAAGATCAATACAATAATGGTCCCACCGAAAGCCAGGTATGAACATCACTATTTTGATGTGCAAAATTCAGGGTACCAACATTTCCACCCATTCAGACCTATATTCTCACAAGTACTAAAATTTCGACATGGTAGATCTATATGTTTGTGATATTTTTGTTACCTATTTGAGTTGTATACCATTGAGCCAACGAAGTCAAACTTCTGTTTGCTGGTTAAATCCACAATTTCTGCTGGTTCATTCCACATTCTTCGTTTTTGATTTCCCAATGATCTGCTGGATCAATCATGTTTAATCCCATTTCTTAATGTGTTGATACCCATTTTAGCTGCTGAAATCTTTTTTTTTTTCCGAAAGATCCAACCGTTGCGGGTTTCGACCGAGAACTCCATCACTGGCCTCAACGGCATGTTGAACACCTTAGTGAAGGCGGCTTCGGCTGCCCAGCGCGTGTGTCTTGGAATGTTTGATGACACTGGCCATTGCTTAGCAACCCCTGAGTGTTGCTCCTTACTACTATCATTCGCAAATAGCTGTTTCGCCCACAAGGTCTCGGCTTGGCGAAGATATTCTGGTGTGAGATTTTGGGTTTCACTTTCAGGGTGGGACGGCCGATGCGAGAATTAGCCACGGGAAGCCAGCGTTTTTAGCGGCCGCATTGCTACTTCTATTTTAAGTGTTTCAACTATTGTTACCAATGTGGTAAACTTGTGAAACATTTTTTCCATTGCGCTCGAGTCTTGTCTTGACGCCTTCTCAAGAGTCACTTTGAAAAGAAGAGGATATTGCATGAAATTTGCATATGGCGGTGTTTGAAAATGAGGTATATCCCCCAGTTATCACCATTTGTTCACAGGGAAAGTGCTGATGAACCATCAAATTTTGTGTAGCCCATTTTCAGACCAACCCATATGGTTTTATTGGGGAACCCTTTGACAGGCTTTTAACCATGGCTTGCTGCGGTGGTTCTGGGTCGAAGCCATCTCCAATTGAAGTTTATTATTGGGTTTACCACATTTCAATTGAAACTGTTGATAACAGGAAAGATTTGGCCTTCCTGTGTATTGTATTTTCTAGACCAACAAAAAAAGATGAGTGGAAGAACAATAAAACTGTAAGGGGATCCACAAGAGTAAACAATCTCCAGTCTGTGGTTCATTATTTGGTATAGCCCTACTTGGGAAGATTTATGCGAGCTCCCGCGGGCTCCCTTTGATGTTTGATCATTGGGGTGCAGGTTTCTGGCACTGCGGATCCCAAATGACTCTGATGAATCACTTGGTGCATTCTTGACCATCAGACCACCAGAACTGGATGGTGGAAAGTTTAGTACTGACATTTACCAATTTCCGTGGGTCCGTTGGGACCATACCCAGCCAGCTTTTTCGATGATTCCAAGTTGGTTCGTGAAAAAAACGATGTTTTTTTTGGGGGATGGCCTGGTTTTTTTGTTGATCTTGGACATCCACCAAGGTTCGAAATCATCGATTTGGAACCAGATATCCCTGCGGATGAAGGTCACAAGGGGCTGGATGATGGTCCTGTGAGTCTCGCCTTCAAGGAGCGTCCGTGAAAAACATGGCTTTTGGGGATGACATTTGATGATTTTGAACACTTGGAGTTTGATGATGGGGCTAACATGACATGGAATGGAGTGAAACAAACATACTCCAGATTTGGATGGGAAATAGAACATGGTGTCCTGCTGCATGTTGTCCCTCAAACGGAGCCAACCAGTCCACTCTCAGCAATCGCATGGCTTGGCTTCCCTTGGCCAGGAAGCCAGCAGGATCCCACGGGAAATGAATACCGTCCAAACTACGACTAGCAATGTCAACCCTGGATGAATAAACCCTGGCTCTTGATTGGGGGCTTACCCCAAGTGATCAGTTGGTGCCAATGTATGCCTTAGGGGTTTGGGCCGGTTTTGGTCATGTAACTTGGATAGTTTGGCAATAGAAACGCTACTATCAAAATTATTACCCCTTTATGACAAATTGGAAATTTAGCAAAATCCTGGATTTTCACTCTCTGGAAGGAGGTCTGCTTCTACTACCCCATGCGACCAGATGCCATGGTCCTCAAGGGTTTGAGCTTCACAGTAGGTGCGGTGCTTGCGGCCATGGGTTGGTGCTCCCAAATCAACCAGCACGGTTTCGGCACGTCAGGTGCTGGTCAAACTGTGGCGATGGTGGGGAAGAGTGGCGCTGGCAAGACTCTTGGGATGCGTTGGACAGAAAATGCATGGAACACCAAGGATATCCAGTTCTCTCATCGATGTCAAAACTCGGGATGCTGACCAGGGTAACTATGGTAACTTGATAACCAAATACCCAGAAAATTTTGGAGGAGCCGGAAGAGGTCGGCAATAACTACAGCCACGTCGGGTGTTTGGCCGCGAGTTGGAACCATGTTCACTGCGAGCCCCTGGATCGCCGAGCCATACAAGGATAGAAATAATTATTCCTTCAAGGATGTCCTCATCTCGTCAAGTTTATTTTCGGAGAAAACACAGTATTTGTCTGTTTTTTTTATCATCCAGGCTTGAGTTTCAGGGTTTTAGACGTTTTAGGCTTGGTTCGGGTTGGAGTTTTTGGGATTTCAATGGATTTCAGGCTCTGAGGGCAATCCAGGGGGTTGCGTTGTGAACATGTTTCAACGTGCGAAAAAAACACAGATGGGAGATTCGTGGGGATCTACCGAACCTTAGTAAGGATATAGTATGATATAGTATTTAACATAGTATTTAACATAGTATGATATAGTATGATATAGGAATATAGTAGGGATACAATGGGATTGAATGGCGATAGTTGGCTATGCAAACAAGAATTGTAGCTATCCGTTGCCCCAAGGAGCACCCTGGTGGGCTTAATGCTGCGATTCTACGACCCCAAGGGCGGGCAGGTGCTGTTGAATGGTGAGCCCCTGACGGAATACAACCTACGACTCTACCGAAAGACTCTTGGTGGATCTGCGAAACCTGGGAGTTTTTGCTGATGCTATGGGTCAATAGTGTCAATACCCTTTCTCAAACGTGACAAGTGAAAATCCCTCATTTTACTAGGTAAATCATCTATAAATGGGCAATTTTTCATAAGCTATATATGTTAAATTATGGGAGAGTTTACCAATTTTTGAGATGAACATGCATTTGCCAGCTATTTCGATGTTCACCAAGGGTATAGGGTTTCGAAATATGTCCTCAGATTTCAACATCGATTTCTAAACTGGAAGACGCATTGGTGGCCTTTAAGTAGACATATGGGTTGACATTGGTGACGGGTAGGTAATAAGCTTGAACATTTGCCAGAAACGGAGGATTCATGATTTTATCCTGCCAACAGATACCTTATGGTAGTATCAGTTTTCTGGCGGAGTACTGTATCTAAGGCTGTAGCAATGATGTTTTCAAACCCTCATTGCTTAGGGAGATAGGCCGCCCAAGAACATCCTAAAACCATCTAAAACCAATCCAGCATGAGCATGGACAGTGACCCACTGTGCCGCGGAGATTTTCAGGTGATGATCCTTAATTAAGGTTGTATGGTAGACAAGTATAGAAAACTGTGTGTGTGTGTCTTACATTTTTTTACAACTAAGTGATACCCGAGTTGTAGCAACCTCAAAAACTATAATATAGAAAAACAACATCCCAGCATTTTTGTTGACCATTTCATCTTTTAAAAAAATCTTTTTTGCAGCTCCGCGGCAGGAAAGTGGGAGTCGTGTCTCAAGATACACAGGCTTCGCTTCGGGGAGACCGAGGGGCCAGAAATGGTGAGAAAAAGGGGTTGAATTTGACGTGTTTAGATAGTGACTCATGATGAATAGTGGTGAATAGTGGTCACTAGTGTTTGATTCTGGGAAGCAGATCATTCTTTATAGTTTGGACTTCTTTTCAGAATCAAACATAAACGACTATAAATGGCAGATCATTCATAGTTTTCGAATCTGTTTGACTATATTTTATCATTTACAGGTTGATAGCGACTCCACCCGCCAAAGGTGGAGCTTCTGGCAATTTTAAGTGTGTTTCCAATTAAACGACTGTTGTTTCCACCATTCGAATCTTTATGAATCGTTTTGGCATCTCTAAGTCCCCAACTTGCGAGTCTTGCGATGCCAGGTGTTCTGCCGCTCTATCCTGGAAAATCTGACTTATGGCCTGGAACCAGGCTGGTAACTTCTCAGTGTTCTTCATGTCCTTCAGATTTGTAGGGTTAAAAAAAACGCTGTTTTGAAAGACTATGAGCAGGGGTCAAAATGATAACCATCCCCCAAAATGGATGTTTCAACAAAGTTCAATACGTATCAGTTACGTGTTTGTTTTGGTAGCTGGTAGTTCGTCTCCTTGCCCCTTGTTGTAAAAGAAACAACGGCACAGCAGGAGAAGTACCGCAGCAAGCGGAGGTTGAGAAGGCGGCTGAGGCGGCAAGTGCAAACGACTTCATCCAGAAGTTGGAGGAGAAGTACCAATCGATGATAGGCCGCTGAGCTGGTTGCTGGATCTGTTGCTTTAATGCTGGATGATGATAGGCCATAGGGTGATAGTACCATTTTTCCAACATCATCGATGATTGATCATCTGTTTTGGTCAGGGCTGGATTTGTTTTTCAGACTTCTTCAGCAAGATGTGGGCCAACTTACTGAGATCTATTGAGCTGCGACTGGAATAGGGGACGGGCCCAAAATGTTTTGATGATCTTTGGGGGTACTGTGAGTAATATTTTCAAAACAATCCGATATCTGGTAAGTTGCCAAAATATGGTATGGTATAGTAGGTAGGCATTGACCGCCATGTCGCGGTTTTTATGTACTCCTTGATGTCTAGGAATCTACAGCGGGTCAAACTTGGAGTACTGTTCCGAACCTAGAAAATGGATCAACATGGATCAAAATGGCTGAATTTTTCTCCAAAATACGGGTAAGAATTTACACCACACATTCCGATACAAACTTTTCATATTTTGGAGGTGAACCACAGGACAAATCTTGGCTTTGAGCCATTGGTTTGATTCATTGGTTGCTAGAAATGTCACCATTTTCATGGTCATATCATATCCAATTTTCATGGTCGCAACCTGTTGGGGATGGTCCAATAACCACATTCTGTCGATAAGAGGATGGGCATATCATGTCAAATAGCGAACGAACATGTTGTGTAAAACATCAAGAAACAGGATATCAATCATATCAATCACCAATCATTTATATCCTCATGTGCGAAAGACTAAAACCATGACCAACATTTGGTGGGTCCATGCTGAATTGATTAAATCTCTCTCTCTCTCTATATATATAGGTATATCTTGTCACAAATATAGCCACGATGGAGGTACCATATCATCCCATAAGAGTACCATGCAAGTACCCAGAAACGGTTTTTTTCCATCCCCGAGATGATTCACATCCCCATTTTTGTAGCCATTTATCAGCATCCCCTTTGAACTCCTTATTTTTGATGGTTAAAACCACCAAAAGATAGAAATCTTATTGTATAATATCCCATAGAATATGACATAGAATATCCCATGAGATATCCCAGAGAATGTTTGTTATATCCTCAGAAAACGGATCATATCCCCACTGTTGCTAGCATAAGCGCATCATCAATTTCCATGCATATATATATATCAATATATATATATATACACATACGTATCAATCCTTTTGTTGGTTAAACACCCCATCATCTCCCTATTCTATCCCCATGATGGCAGGTAAAAAATCGCCTTTTTAATTCAGTAGCTGATGAAGAAATAACCCAAAAAAGTCACCCATGTTTGCTTAGAAAAATCCTTATTAGATCCCCATCCTTCATTGGTTAGCCTCCAGTAATCAAACATGGCAATGGCAAATCCACCAGTTATAGATCTTTTTCCTACCAACACCTCGATTTTATGGGCGATTTTGCAGAATCCAGAATCGCTGCACTATACAAATAATTGTAAAATCTCCATCACATCATTCATTGGTGATATGGGATTTCCATAGTCATGGGGATACCCCAATAGCTGGATGGTTTATTTCATGGAAAACCCTTTTTAAAATTGAAATGGATGATTTATTTCATGATAAATAGGGGTAGCCCTATAGGATTTATGGATGATTTATGGACACCTCCATCATTCCCAGCTGAATGGATTTATTCTCAGAAATAACTCTATTCTCATAGACTCATAGATTTATGGAAACCGAAATTTATCCATTATGAGTCATGTTTTTTCATAAATGGATCTATTTTTTAGATCTATATATAAATAGATTATTCTCCAAATAAATGAATCTATTTTCATACATGGATCGATTTTTGGATCTCTCCCAGCGAGCGAAACTCCCCAGGCGAAGGTGGCACGCGACTGAGCGGTGGCCAGCGACAGCGGGTGGCCATTGCCCGGGCGCTTCTGCGGGGGCCCAAGCTGCTCCTGCTGGATGAGGCGCGGCCGGACCGGGGCCGTCGGAACATGAGAAAATGCGCTGTTTCTGGGCGTTCACCAGCTCAAACTGAGGATTTCACCATGGAAAAGCTGGGAAAATGGTGATTGAACCATGGAAGATGTGGGAAAATGGGGATTTCACCAACGACCATTTGGAAAGATCGGGGTTCAACCAGCCAAAATTCTGCCAGAGTTGGTGAAGTATTTATGATTCTACCAGAACACAACAAGAACAGACATTAATCAACCCATAAGCCAAAGATACAGGGGCCTCAAGTTTGTAGTTTAATCCAGAAACGGCTCCTCTTTTGCTGCTAGTTCTTCACCAATACTTTTTGTGATGAGAACAAGCCGCCCCACTCAGGCAGCCCAGTTGTCAGTTGTCAGGACAGGGATGACAACTAACCCGCCTTCCAAATCCAACCTATCCCAATCTATTCGTGTACCTGGATGGTTTGGCACTAAAAATATGCCCCACTTTTCGTCAATCAGTTGTGGTTCTTCTGAAACCTCTGATTTGGATCTACCATCCCCAATTGGCCAAACATGCGTTGCTGCAGGGAAAAACAAGATGGAAGCCACGAACCCGAATGTATTCACATTCACGTTCTTGGACTACCAGTGAAAACCTCTGCAATAGGAAAACAAACCTTTTTTTTCATGCATCGTGCGTGCATATCGTCTCAGCGAAGGCACCTGATCAACAGTTCACAAAGAGACAACTAACGCACAAAGACACGCATGGAAAACATCGCTTGAAGACAGTATATTACCCCTGTTACCAGTCTGCAGTGTGGAGTGGCAAGTGTAGAGTGTGGAGTGTGGAGTGGAAAGTGTAGAGTGTGGAGTGTGGAGTGTAAAGTAAGGAGTGTGGAGTGTAAAGTGTGGAGTGGGGAGTGTAGAGTGTGTAAAGTGTAGAGTGTGGAGTGCAGAGTGTACAGTGTAAGACGTCCCAGTACTACTTTGTACTACAAAGCTTGCACAAAATACTTCCCAGTACTACTTTGTAGCACAAAGCTTGCACAAAGCACTTCCCAGTACTACTTTGTACTCCATGACAACCTGCTTGGAAACCTTCGAAAAGGAGAGGTTTTGCAGCTTCCCCCATAGACACGGCGACGTGTCGAGAAAACCAGAGACTCGAGACGAGACACGTGGGCGCAGCAAAACGAGCATTTTGTGCGAGACATTTTCCAATTTTGACACTTTGGGCACGTTAGCAAACACGTTGGAATGTCACAAAGTGCCACGCCTGCCACGCAAAACGACATGACAAAACCTTCGAAAAGGAGAGGTTTTGCAGCTTCCCCCATAGACACGGAATTAACGACCCGCCGCCGACCCGGCGACGACGCGTCGACGACGCGACGCCGACCCGACGAGCCACTCGAGGCGAATAAGGGTCCAGCCCCCAGACCCCCAGACTATAAACAGGAACCCTTAAACATCTCCATGCAAGAATCCCTCATTCATATCATATTCATATCCCTTTATAGACGGTTTTCCAAGTATGATCATGAGATGTTCCATTGTCGTGTTTGCCAGTTGAAGCTAAAATTGGCCCTTACCTAAATCAACATTTGGGGCCAAACTCTTGATTTGAAACCGCTGTGAAAAGTTTACGCGCAAGACCAGGGATGCTGGGGACCCCTCGTTTTGCACTGTTTCAGGCGCCAGTCAACATTGTTGTCTTCCGTAAGTTTTTGCAGACCTCTCTTTTTAGTTGGACATTCTGCGTCCTTGGAATCTCGAATTTGGTCTACCCAACAACCCAACTATGGCATAACGAGGGCCTATCGGATTTTTTGGTTCTTAGATAAACTCATAGCTTTTCGTCCTTGAAGTTGAATTAGTCTTCTCTTCACGCTTCTTGTTTCTGCATAGGTTGCATAAGATAAGATGGGACGCGAAAGACGCACATCTGAATTCATGTATAATCACCATTTGATGGCCAAAATGACTTCATTTAGTATCTAGGGGCACTGCACATGATTTCCTGAGCTTTTGGCCGAGGCAACCTCAGCCCTCGCGACTTGGCTTCCCTTTTTGCCTTGGAATCTGATGGAGGGAACGGGCTTCTGGGGATGATCTTTGATTGTCGGAAAGGGCGCCTGGCAACTGGCTATCTCAATGTTTTAGACCAAACAAAAAAGGTGCCGAACAAACAAATACCTCAACTTTGAACCCCATTTTTTCGGCCAAGAAGGCGGTGATATGGCGGTCCAAACACTGCTACCCTAACGTCAAAATAGTTCGGAATTGGATGTTCGTTCCCCAGTAATTATGTGTATAGGCATCATAGGTTGAGCCATCCCCTATGTCACTACGGTTCGTTATAATCCCCATTACCATATACATTTTTCCCATCATGGGATGGATGACCTGGATGACCATATTATGGCTAGCCATGAATATCCCCATTATCGGTGAAATCCCCCAAATCAATCCAATGTAAGTTGAAAAAATGGCAGAGTCTCATCTCAAGAACCAGGATGCAGAGAACGAAGGGAAGGTGCAGCGGGCCCTAGACGACTTGGTCCATTCTGTCCATGGCAACTGTTCTGTGGTCCTTATCGCCCACCGCTTGTCCACCGTCATAGGACTGGATCGATGGGACTTGGGACGGGGATTTACGTGGGGAACCCTGGAAGTTGTGGGGATTTACGTGGGATTTAAGCTGTCAAAATGGAGATTTAATCAGCGATGGGATTTAACCAGCCACAATGAATACGGGATTGAAGCAGCCAACATGTTTTTTTCATCATCGATACGTAAGGATCTCACCAACAAGAAATGGCATTTAACGATCAATCAATGATCGAAAGTGGACATTGAAATTGACTTACCTGCCGTGATGTCATACCATGAGATTTTGGGGCTTTCACCGCTTTCACCTACATTCGAGACAAACCAATCCTGTTCCCAGGATTCCACAGAATATATATATAGGATTTCCGCCATATTCAGGGGTGTAAGACCATGGTTGCCTGTGAGATGTCCCTCAAGGCAATCCGTTGAACTTCGGTTTTTCCCCCAAGCCATAGACCATTCGAGTGATCTTCATCCTGACACATTATTCTGACATAGCATCATCTGGAAGTATATATGGCTTATATACTTTGACATTCTATCTGACTTTTTCTGGTATTCTATCTGACATATATTCTGACGTTCTATTTGGCATCTATTCTGACATTCTTTCTGGCATGTGCTTGGGTCTATGCGTGCCCAGACTCGCCATGACTCGCTGAGACCTACAGTGACAACAACCTGGCAGAAGACGAACACAAGAAGAAGGAAAGATTAACGAAGAGGAAGACATGAGGAAAGAAGGAAGGAAGGGAGGGAGGGAGGGAAGGGAAGGAAGGAAGGAAGGAGGGAGTGAGACACACCTTTGTTAAAATCTGGAGAGCCTCACCTGGCAGGTGGGGAATGAACACATCCAAAATATCATTGAAAAACATGGGAGAACGACGGCCGGTCGCGCACGGTGCCTAAGGATGCGGCAGAGATCTGTGGTATATGATTTTATATTCATGCCTAGGAGTGTTTTTTGTTAAACATGTTTTATGTGTATATATGCACATTAGACATTTTTATGTGTATAATATGTATATATATATATGTATAATTATATATATAGCACATTCTTTTTTTTGCGTGTCTATATACGATTCTACATATACAAATTATATATATATGTACACAGTATGTAAAGTGCACTCCCAAGATCAATGAAAGAACATCTTGGCGAGCACATGTTCCAATTTCTCAGCCGAATGCCTTAGTCTCAGCAATCCTGAACTTTTTTTGGCGCTTCTATCATGGAACCTTTTGTGATGATATGTATCTTTTGTATGTTGATACATTGTTTGATGAAGATAATGATTGCCATCGCCCCAACTAAGATAGACATTGAGAGTCCGCCCCAACTCATCGCCAGGAGCTGATAAGATTGTGGTCATGGATCAGGGCCTAGTAGCAGAAGAAGGAACCCACGAGGACAAGTTACGCCCGTTGCGCTGGTTGTCGCAGGTTGTGTAACGAAAAACAGGTTCTTTTCGGCATTTTGCACTTTCTGTGGACATATTTTCTTTGCGAGTTCAAGGGAAAAACCAAACAAATGAAGCGAAAGATAAAACCTCAAGCTGGTCAGCCAGTCAATTGAGAAGAGCTGTGTTTTTCATCAATTCGCTCTTTGTTTCAAACACTTTCGACTAGTTATTTTCAGAAGATGACCATAGTGACATAGTTTTTTTTTCTTCAAGGTTTGAAACCCCCAGCTTGCTCCAAGCGGAAAGACTCTCTGGAGACCTCCAAAACTCCAGTAAACAATCCATATTTGTTTCCCGAAAATTTCTAGATTTGTAAGGATGTTATTTCATAAAAATGTGTGGCACCCCTGATCTTATTTTGTGTGAGTTTTTGATGTCTTTACGTCGGACCCGTTACTGATGATGATGTCCCTAGTTTTATGCCTGTGCTATGCAGTGTCTTTCGGGGCGACCCAGCGGTCAAAGAACGTGCAGATAGCCAAGTTGTGGGGTGAGCACACGCGGGCAATTTGATTATTGGTTAAATTTCACTTCTCACTGGTCAACTCCAACAAATATTGCTGTAATCCCAATCGTTGCTGCTTAATTTTCCTTTTTTTCTGGTTAAATTCGATGACATCCTCTGTTTAAATCGCAGTCTCGTTGCTTCGATTCATTTTTTTCACTGATCCTTCTCGATTCTGGATCCTGAAAGCTGAAGTGCATCCTTTTCGCTGCTAGTTACATCACTTAGAAATCGGTAGCGATGAAATGATAGCTGAGTTCACCGTTACTCACGGCACAACAGGAGCTTTTAAAGAGCGACAACATCTATGCTGGCCTCGTGAAGAGGTGTGGGGCAGATGTGGATCCATCTGGGTGTTCCGAAGATGTGTCGAGGCGAAAAGATGGGGAACAGTGGGACTTTTATCTACACTGGATTTGGTGTCCCGATTTTGTGAACGGCCCCATAGCTTAGAAAAACACACACTTGCTCAGAAACATTTCGCCGGGGATGACGATCCGAACTTTTTTTGCTCACACCTGCAGACCCAGAGATTCTATGTAGAAATGTGTAGAAATGCACACATAGATGCATTTTTACATCGTTGGCAATCTTGCTGTGGAACCACATGTGTCATGGTCACAAGTTGGACTAGATTCTACATGTCGGGATGGTCATACCACCCTTGATGGAAACATTAATATCAGCCAATGCAGGGATTTCCGATAGTGCCGTTCGCCCAGTCAAGTCCTGTCCAAAACTGAGGGTGGGACCGACTGAAGCTGGCCTCCTTGGGCCATAAGATACTAGGCAATTTTGATGGGAAATATATATATATAATATAATTATATTATGGAATATATGGTAATATATGATAATATATGATGTTCCAAAGCAGTAATTTTGGTGCTTCTCGCCCAATGTTCTCCTCGTCACATGCCAGGCAACTGGCAAAGGAAGCCAATGTTGTTGGTGAGGATGCAGCCGAGGCACTGGCCACAGCATTGCCAACCAAAACATGTGGGGGCACGAAGTACTATGAAGTACTGATGGATTTGGGGGAAGTTTAAAGCAAAGACCTGAGTTTCTCGGACAAGAAACTGTTTTGAGATATTCATGTTGGATGTCTTAGTAAACTGCACACAAACCCTTGGATCAAATCTTTGGTTTGCCTGGCCAAACCAACTTGGACATACTTTAGTGCAAAATGCACGTTCTCTCGAACTTGGAAACGAATTGCAAAGGGATTGTCTACCGTCTACCATTACTACTGCTGCTGCTGCTACTACCACTACCAAGAAAGAAATGCTCACGAACCAACAAATCTTTTGGTCCTTGGGCCGAAACACCTGTCGATTTGTTTTGTAAGCTGTCGTCTAAAGGAATTCTCAGTTTTGACAAGTTGAAAATCATTAGATCCTCCTTGTCTGCTTGGCTATACAAATTTCTTGCCGGGTTTCTCCCTCATGTTGGCATAGTATTAATAACACCCCCCCTCCCCCTCAAACACTAAGGGATCGTAAATCATGTTGAGGCCAAACACAAAGACCTGGAGCCCCTGGATTTTTTCCACACCTGAGTAAAGCCGAACAAATTGCCTAATTGAAAACGAATACATGAGTGTAATTTTGTGTCTTTTTAGTATTGCCGAACAAATTGCCTAATTGAGAACGCATATACATCATATTGAGAAAACTTCCATTTGAAATTGAAACGGAATCTAAATTGGTTTGAAGTTGAATTAGAATTTACTTTTCTTTGCTTTTTAGAAAGGTCCCAAAAATTGGAGCACTTTATTTAGGGGGCCGCCACTTTATATAGGGGTGCAGATAGCAAAAATAATTCACTTTCACTTTAGAAAACTAACTATATTCACCCGACATTTTCTACAGAAAAAAGAATTACTTATTTAGGGGGGTTCAAAACATTGCCCTTTATTGTGGTTCCGAGATGGTTCAAGGCTACCCCCTTTGCGAGATTTTTTTTTGCACTTTTAATCAGGGATTGGTAAAGGGATTGGTAAAGAAATCGATTATTTCAGATCATTGAGAATATTGAGATTTCAGAGGTTGCTTTGAAGGGCAAACGGGTAGCAAACATAAATTACGTTCAATTTATAACAAGTTGTTCTGTTGTTCAACCAAATTTTCAACAGAACAACTTGTTATATACTTTATTTAGGGGTCAAACCATTGCTTTTTATTGTGGTTCCGAGGTGGTTCAAGGCTATACTGTTTGATTGTTTTTTTTCTTCATTTTTTAGATAAGGGCTTTAAAAGAAATCGATCAATTCAAATCTTTGACAATTTAAATTCAGATCTTTGAGGTCAAACTCAAAAAACAGGCGGGATAAAAACATCCGGAGAAAACCATGATTAACAATCCCCAAAAAAACGCAACCCAAAAAAGTTTGGCGGACTTTATTTTGGGGTGGTTTTTATCATGTTGGCCCGAGGGTTGGCGTACTTTAGTGTGGCGGGGTTTTCTTAACCCGATGTGAAGATTGCATGTGTTGGTTACTGTTGCTGTAATATATCATTTCTGTTTATCACAGTGAATTCAGTGGTTCCCCTTCAGGCCGGCCAGGGCAAAGGCAAGGGACGCTTCAAAGGCACGGGGCATCACTGGGCAGTGACCGGATCTATTTGGGGCTGAAGGTCTTAGAGAATAGATGAATAGATGGCTTGTGTCAAACCACGGTGGCTTCACAGAGGTACTTTCCCAATGACGTCCAATGACTGAAAGGGCTTGAACATCTCGGCAAATCCCTAAGTTTCTAAGGGCGAAGCCAACATCCCAGGCAAGAAGGCCAGAGAGGGCTTGGAAGCTGACAGTGCTGACAGCGAGGCTACCAACCTCATGGATGGTGGAACTGGTGGGATTCTGTTGATATTTTCCATGGCCTGTTTCCATGGCCACCATTTCCAGCGAAGTCTGCTGAGTGGTTCACAAGTCTACAAGAGTTGTTGACGTTTTTACTCTTTTTTTTTTCCAAGGTTTAAGATGTCGTTTGGCCTTGTTTGAGTTGTGTTCCCCCCGGAGGCACCTGATGGTCCTGGACAAATGCAGGGCAAGGGACGTGGCAAGTGGAAAGGCCGGAGGTCGGAAGGACCGCCCCTTGGAAAATGACATGGGAATCTGCTGGGATATGCTGGGAGTTTTCCATAAATGGGGGTACCCCAATAGCTGGATGGTTTATATGTAAGGATTGTAAGGGAACATCCAATTAAAATGGATGATTTAGGGGCACCCCCATTTTAGGAAACTTCCATATAGGCCAACAATATGGGTGAGATATAGAGAATCCAGCATATTATGTGGGTAAATCATAACGACCTCATTGTGGCGTGTCGCTGGAAGAACATTCTTTCTTTTTCTATTCCCTTATCCAGATATTGTAGAAGTGTATAGAAACATATATCATGCCAGTGAATGTAGGATGAGATGCTTTTACAACATTTTGCCCTTCTTAAACCCATCTGAAATCCAAAAGATTTCGATAGTGTAAAATTGATAGTAGTAGTCGCATTTATAGGGGTTTAACCGAGAGATGACTGGGATTATAGCCCACTGAAGACCCATAGGGGGTGCATCATTGTGATCATCGCCCGCTGCAGAAACCAAAAAAACACGATTCAGAAACCAAAACGACCGATTCAGCAAACAAAACTGAAGCGATTCAGAAACCAAAATGTACGACTCCGGAAGCAACATGTACGATTGAGAAACCAAAAGTTACGATGTAGAAACCAAAACTTGGCTGCCACCCTCCTCTGATCACTATGTTGCATTTTGAACTTCACAAGAGATCAAAAGCCCGCCACCCCCATCTGACCACTATGTTGCATTTTGAACTTCACAAGAGATCAAAAGCCCGCCACCCCCATCTGACCACTATGTTGCATTTTGAACTTCACAAGAGATCAAAAGCCCGCCACCCCCATCGGCCCCATCTGACCACTATGTTGCATTTTGAACTTCACAAGAGATCAAAAGCCCGCCACCCTCATCTGACCACTATGTTGCATTTTGAACTTCACAAGAGATCAAAAGCCCGCCACCCCCATCTGACCACTGTGTTGCATCTTGAACTTGACAAGAGATCAAAACCCCGCCACCCCCATCTGACCACTATGTTGCAGGTTGTTGGTTACCTATCTAGATTTTTTGGTTTCCGAAGAATCCTTGGTTTCTGAAGAATCCTTTTTGGTTTCCGAAGAAGACCTTTTGGTTTCCGAATAATCCTTGGCTTCCAACGAAAGGTTTTTTGGTTTCCGAATACTCCTTGGTTCCGAAACTTGTTTGGTTTCCGAAACTTTTTTGGTTTCTGTTTTTTTTTTTAAACGCATCATTGTAGTGGCCAAGCATGGTCCGTAGTCAAACAAGGCGTCCCAGACTAAGTGCATGCTTGAAGCCATGAAGACGTCCTGTATTCAGGCCTTTCAAAAAAGTGCAGTCCCCAAGATTGATTCGGCAATTGAAATCCACCATTTAGTCAAAACCCCAAACCACCATTAAATTAAGATCACCATTAAAAGCAGCATTTTAGTCACTAGGTCTATGATTTTCCCATTCAAACCCCACCATTTCGAGGATTTCCCAGCCATGTTGGATGACACCCCTTTATCGGGCACCCTGGGCACCCTGGCAGGAGCATCAGACGGACCTGATTCACCAGATGAATGACGAGCCTTTTGCCATGACGAGCCAGTCGTTGTACAGTGATGGCAGCAATGGGGTCGTCGGAAAATGTTGGGAAAGCCGATTTTAATCCCATCCGAACAGATCATTTCAACAATCCATCCGTCCATCCATAGAGATATATATACACAGAGACAGAGAGACATAGATACATAGATACATAACAATTATATAGTTATTTCTTTATAGATATATACATAGATAGGCAGATACCTAGGTACAAAGATTTATAGATACGTGGATACCTTGATACCTAGGCACAAAGATCGCATAAATAAATAAATGGTACCCCCCCATGTCCCTCCCATTTGGCATTTTTATTGGTATTTGCAGTGTCTTTCAATACAGTTGAATAACATTTTTTAGGCGTCATTTTTTCACTACTAGGGGGTGCCATAAATCAATATTCTGAGACTCTTGTTTGGCCCATCTGGTGGAATATTTCTTGAATTTTTCTTTTGTATAAATAAATTTGGACAATAGTTTCAAAGGGGAACATCGTAGATCTAAAATGTAATCAAAGAACCAAGATGGAAGGAACAACCAGAAACCCAAAAAAATGAAAAAAACCGGAAAACATTGAACAAATAAAACACGGAGACTCTTGGCTAGACTCTAGACACCCAAAAAACATTGAAAAAAAAAACGAAAAACATTGCAAAAAACAAAACAATAGAACAACACAGTATTTGGAGACTCTTGGCTAGACTAGACCCCCCCACCCCCCCAGACATCTGGAAAATTGTTTATTTTTTTCTTGGGTTTTTTAAAGGTGTTTTTTGTTTTTTAATTTTGTGGCCTCCAAGACCTCTGGACTTCTTTTTTTGATGTAGTAAGCCCTTTTTACATAATGTCACTGCTCATTTTTCTTGCACAAAAACAATGTATGCCCTTGTCAATACAAAACATGCCGAAATAATGTCAACTATTTGACCTCTTCGAAATCGATGCCAGACACAAAGTTTGCACGGTTTATGTCATGTACTGTGCAAATTGGTTCATCCTTCATGGCTTTTAAGGGACACTCAAAATCAGGTACCATATACATATATGTATGTATCTATATATATATACATGTATACATACATATAAACTGGGGTACCATAGATAGACAAACTTGTGAGACATGAAGGTTCTGGCATTAAGAGGTCTTAGGAGGTCCTAGGACCTCCCTGGAACCAAGAACCAATAACCAAAATTACATAGACAGTTTTGGGGAAATCTTGGTTCTTGGTTCTTGGCTTGATAAAGGTCCTACGACCTCCTTCCAGAATATGTCTTGAGTACAACTTACGTTAATGTTGAGCGAGCATGTCAGTATATCAAGTAAAACTCATGTTTATGAGGTTTCGACCAATATTCCCAAACAGTGCCACGAACCATGGAAGAAATCGGACACCATGTCATCTACTCAGCCACCGCACATCATCCAGGGGTTTTGTTGGTTTTCTCATGGTGTGAGCACCTTCCCAGAAAGTTTCTTAAAACCATGGAAAAAAAAATACAACACAGCTACGTCTTGAACATAGAATAGGCAAACAAGTTTCAGCATGGACTTTGAAGTTTGTTTTCAAAACAGCCTCCTTCGCTATATGTCTGGCCTTGAATATAAAGCTACTTTCAATGAGACTTGCAGCTGCGCAAAGTTATAAAGGAGTGCAGCATCTCTTTGAAAGGAATATAATATTAATTTCAAGGATACTTACAGCTGTACAAAGTTTTTTTGAAGAGATCAAGGAATCTATGGAAGGAGGACAGCACTGCTTCAGAATGGAATCCTTTGAGTACGAATGTTTTACGATTATGGTATTCCTTACAGAAAGTGTTGGTGCAAGTATGGGCAAAGCTTCCTGCAAGAGGGAGTGAACCATGTGATTGAAAAACATGCAATAGTACAAAGATGCATTACTATGAAGTAGAATCCTTGGGTGTATGTAGTATTTTCTGAAACACATATATCATTGTGGTATGTGTGCAATATGCCTTCCATATGAATAAAACATCTGAACAAAACAGGCAACATTATTTTGTTATTTTGAAGAAGTGAAGCCTTTCCTTAAAAACAAATGTTGTGCCGAAAAAATAAGAGGGAGCTGAGCTGCATTAAAGGATGTATTGCATCCTTCCACGTATTGTGTTTTTCTGCAAGGATACTGCGTGCTACTTAAGGCAATACCTTGTCTTCAATGCAATCATTTTGAAGAAATTATATGGTCTTTCTTTTACACAATGTCATATAAGAAAAATGAGGGGAAGGCTGAACTTCATTATAGGATGCATAGCCTCTTTCCACAAAGAATATTGCCTTGTTTCTCTTTTCCTTGTTATCGACCACACACTACCAAAAAGGTACGTATATAGGGGGGGGGACTAGCAGCCTAGCAAATAAATAATTGAATAAATAAACAGATAAATAACTAAATAGATAAATATGCATATACATATATACACACATATACATGTATCAATCATCTTTTTTGTCATTGATATATATATATAGATATGTATATATATATAGAGTATATATATATATAGAGAGAGAGAGAGGCCATTCCCGCGTTTCGGTAAAATCTCAACATAAGCGACCCTTGAGGATGCACCCTAAGTGATCAACCTGACTGGGGCGCAACAAATCAAAGGTCAGATCACTATGGCTCAAAATTACTGCCCGAACTTGGATGGCCTATGGCCTAGTGAGTCTAGTCGACGACATGTTCAAGAATTCTGGAGTGTGTCTCCGTTGGTGTCGCATGTTTCAAAAAAGCATTTTTTTTAGTGTCTCCATTTTCGAAAAAACCTATGTTTGTGAGTACTTTTGAGCCATACTCGCACGAGTTACGCACAGCAAGAGGATCTCGCAACAGCATCGCTTTGAAAAAAAGGGCCCTGGTTGGTTTTCCGGAGAGTCGCTGATCGCTGATCGCTGAAGCTGATCGTATTTCGGGAGTTTTTTTTTGGCGCATTGATGGAGTGTGCACAACAGGAGTATATAAACATATAGTATATGGGCGCGCTATGAGTAGTTTTTTTGTTACCCTATGAGTATCTATGAGTCTATGAGTAATGTATAGGTAGTATTACATTCCCCCTTTGGTTGGTTTATAGGGGGATTGGGGCCTTATATGGAGTGTTGGGAGTATTAAACTCATTAGTTGACACATGGTATGTAGGGAGTTAACAGGGAGTGAATAGGTATACAGTACATATAGGCATATAGCATATAGGTATATAGCACATATTTACCCATAGGTAGGCTTGGAATAATGTATAGGTAGCACATACGTACAAATACACAGGTATGCAATGAGCAGGAAGTCATAATGTGTAAGTAATGGCATGGTATAGGCAGTTCATAGACAGTTTCTGTGTAGTATATGCTAGATATGCTAGAAGGTATGCGTAGAGAGCTTCAGTGACAAGGTTGTGGATGTGCCTCCCAGTATACCTTTGGGGGGGAGGTGTGTGGCGGTCAAAGGGATATTGCTATTTTTGCTTCTTGATTTCGGCAAATCGTCCTCTTCAGAAGGCATTTTGTGTGATATGGTGTGACACACGTCCTGCTTTCTTCTGGTTCGTCCTTGGCATACTGTCCTTCGCTTAAAAGTGGAATCAGGAGTTTTCTTGAAGAGTCTTGGGCCTTTGTGTGTATCAAATGCCGTGTGTTGGAAATCTTTTTACACAGCTGTTTAAGGATACTCTCCTCCGCCACAAGACGAACATGCAGTCTGCCAGACGAACCTCAAACCAGTGGTCAAATCCACTTTTTGTCGGATTACCATTTGGTTATTTAACATAGCCATGGAACATGGCCCATTTATAGATGATTTTCCCAGCTATAAACCTCCATTTATAAGGGATCTTCCATGGCTATGTTAGTCATAACCAGATGGTATACATTTGATTTCAAGATTGCCCCCCCACTGTCACTCTGGGACCCTCACCACAGGTACGACCCGAGGGGTCCGGGAACCCAGGATCGCGTACGAATTGCGTCAAAACGTGGTGTCACCACTAGTTTCCCAGTTAGATTTGTTCAAACATGCAGGACCTACATAATTTAAATGGACAACATGATGAAACATATTGATAATCCGTTGGAATGGAAGATGAGGGGATATGATTTGCAAGCCTAGTTTTTTTTTGACGGACCAAACCAACCAACAATCAATCGGTTGTTTTGGGTTGGTGGTTTAGGATTCCTGAGAATATGCTGCAGTGATTCTCGTAGTGGTAATCCCTTTCCGAACGAAATCCTGCAGAAAAAAACACACAGGTTAATCACTTGTTGACCATAGGCTGGTGCACCAGGAAAATTGCAGACTGACTGATGTTCATGACTGTGAGCCTGGCAGCCATTTTCTTTGTTCCACCAGTCCGATGGTCAGGTCCGCTTGCAAGTTCATGACCCACCCAGTTACCTAGACCTAGCTGCAGAGTTATTACATTTATTACTGCAATCACCACATTGTTTTGCTGCACTTCATTTTTTCATCGGGCCAGAAATTCGTCATCGCTTGCCATTTCGATGTTGAATGTTCCATGTTTGTCAGTGACCTTTCGCTGAGGGTTTCTGCACAATGGCCCGGATGCCTTTCTTCGAGGGAAACAATAGATTGGAATGGTTGTGTTAGAAAGGGGAAGTATGGACTATGACTCTGACTAGAGATGATGATTGAACATAGGAACAAAATCTCTGATCATTGTGCATTTTCTTAGATGATGGTGAAGGAGTTGTTTCTGTATTTCAGGCATCTTGCTGAACTGGAACTCAGGATCCTTAGCCACCAATCATTTTGAAAGTTGAAGCCTCACAACTCAGTTGGACATCATGTTTGGCATTTGAGCTTTTACTTGGCTACACCCCTGTTGCAACATCCCGAGTGTTGAGATCTTGGTCTCTTGTTACGGTGATTGGCTGATAGGGGTGGCCACCATAAATGTGAGAGATGATTCTGACATGACACTCCAAGGTACTCTACTCGACTCCAAAATCCGGAAATTTCATGGTCCCTCCACGTAAGTATTTGATGATCCCACGCTGATGGAACTTTTTTTATGTGGCTAAAACAAAATGGATCTTGAAGGTTTTCAGCCAAACTGGGAAACATATCCCAAGTCATCCATCTGCAATATATATTATATATATATCTCTCTCTACATACAGTATTATATGTATAAATGTATATGTATACGTAACTGTATATATATATATATATGTATATGTATATGAATATGCATATGCACTTCGACCGCTTGGGCTATCTCGGGGCCTCAGAGCCTTGGCCTCGCCGAGGCCCGTGGGTCTCACAGAGGAGGTGGCCAATCGCGGAGAGCGGCTGCGCACCCATGCAGCAGGACGGGTGGATCTCATGGGAAGATGATGGGAATTTCATGGGAATATGATAGGAATATGATTGAAATATGGGGAATATGATGGGAATATCACATCAGGAGGGTTGGGAATATGATGGGAGTATCATGGGATAAAACAGCAAAAATATTTTTGTGAGATATAGAGAATCCAGCATACGATCTGGGTATATAAAAAAAGACCGAACCCTGCGACAGAAGCCTGGAATGATGATTAGCCTGATTTCAGGAGGCGTGTTGATAATTTGCCTCCAACTTTTTCCCCATGTTTTTGTTGTTTTTTCAATTTTATCTAGTTCCGCCCATTGTTGTTTTATATGTGAATATGTGTTTTTTTTTTGTGGAATGGGGTGGGATGTTGACGTTCAATTGAAACTGATTCCCATGTTGATGCTACGGTGATGATGGGATTGGGGTTGGGTGGGGTGAGATGTTGACGTTCAACTGAAAGAGATTCCCATGTTGATGCTACAGTGATGATGGGGTTGGGGTTGGGTGGGGTGAGATGTTGACGTTCAATTGAAAGTGATTCCCATGTTGATGCTACGGTGATGATGGGGTTCTGGTTGGGTGGGGTGAGATGTTGACGTTCAATTGAAATGATTCCAATGTTGCTGGTACGGTGGTGATGGGGTTCGGGTTGGGTGGGGCGGGGTTGGATGTTAACGTTCCATTGGACATGATTCGGTGATGGGGTTGGGGCGAAGGATTTGTGAGATGTTCACGTTGACATTGCTGGCAAGGTCTTGACCGTAATTTTCTTGCTCGCCTGCACAATAAGAAGGCGAAACCGTTCAATCAACGTGTGGCAATATACACGTTCTCTTATTGTGGCGTTACCACTGGCACACTCAGGCCAATCTGCTTGTGGAAATAGCCAAACTGGCTTAAGATGATATGTGTCGAGCAGAAAAAATGTGGCGTAGGCGCAACTTCGCCGGTGCCTTTATTTTGAATTCACTTACAATTACGACGCAATGATGGGAAAACCCCAAGGCTAAATATCAGCGCGTGACCTTATGTCAGGTCAGTGAATTATCACAATTTGTCCGGATGGATGGACATTTAATGGAATTGGGGTTTAAGGTTGGTGAACGCGTGTTTTTTTTTGGATTAAGGCTTTATGAATTGGAAATTGTGGTTTAACAATGGAATTTCATGGGTTTTTTTCATGGGGAATGGAGGCATATACTGGAGGGATATGTGTCATCTCAGACTGAGATACTGGAGGGATCATCTGGAAAAAAATCACATGGAAAAAAACCCATCATTTCTAATAGGTCAAAAACGGTCAATCATCGAAGAAAACGAGCCATGGCTGTAAAATAGCGTGAAATGACTGGAGGGTAGCGATTTGGGTCAAGGATTTATTGCTGGTACCTGGATTTTGACCAAATCGTTGGTCATTTCACCATTTCAAAAAAGACCCTCCTGAAACATCCGGCATGTGGAGGAGGGTTGAGAATTTGGACCTCCCGCTGGTTGGCAGGTTTCAAGTCTTTCTCATCTTTCATCCAAAAGGGGAAGATGACGAGCCCATCATTGAAGGGTGTCACGGCTCCCAGCGTGGCCAGTCCTACAGCAGCTTCGAGTTCTACTGCGCTCGAAGCCTTGGGTAATGCTGGGCCAGTTGGGGATGGTTTTCCACCATCTGAAACCTCCCAAGACAGGGTCTGGGGTCAGGGAGCGAATTCCTGCCAGATCTGGGAAATATGCATCATACAATCTCATGCATGTTTTCGAAGTCACGTTTGGATGTCCGGTGGTCCAGTGGTTACTTGGGCCTCCCAAAATAGGGTAGCCCTTTTTCTTATCAATTGGGATTCGACCTTCGAAAATCGATGGGACGACCAGGGGAAACACTGTGATATTTGGGCTCAGTGCTACTTTATAGAACCGTTTCAGACAGAAATTCAGCAGAGTGGAGGCGCGGCTGTGCGTAGGGAGGTGGACGACATGGTTGATTGGAGCAAAGTTGAAATATATATATATATATTATAATATATATAATATAATATAATATAATATAATATAATACAATACAATATAATATAATATAATATAATATATATAATATCCATATGTACATCTTGAAATGTATATGTATAGCAGTATGGTATAATGTAGCGGCCTCCGGATGGAAATGGACCAGTTGGATTCTTCAGAAGTGTTTGGGTTGTCCACCCATTCTTCCAGGAACCACCGGGATCAGTATCCACTGCAGGTAATGTGTCCACAATCGGGCACGCTGCCATTTGGAGAGGTGGGCGGTTGAAAAAAATAGGTCCAGGTCGATACCAATTCACCAAAATGTGACAAAACGTGTTGACAAACGACACTGCTGTTGGCTGTTCCATCTTTTTCCATCCGAAAGATGTGCTGGGTGGCTGGGTGTTTCCGCGAAAGCTTTCCAGGATCTGAACTTCAAGAACATTGACAGTTCAACTCTCCCGAAGCTGATGGACCGTCAAGAAACCCCAGAGTCATCGCCGCGCTCGCATTTCTCGCGACAATGCACTCTGGACAGCACTCTGGAAACTACTGAGCCATCGCCTTTCTCACGACAATGCACACTGGACTCTTGCTTTGCTGTGCAAGTCGACGCTTCTCGGCTGGAAATGTCGTTTTCATCCAGAGCCAGGTTGCAGATGCACCATTGTGCTTTGCAGCCAAAAAGGGTTAACCTCTTAACCATCATCTTTGCACTGTCTCAATTATAGCCCCATGTTTGTTGCTTCGTGTCATATAAATCACTAGGGTCGATTGGGCATTGCTTCCATGGGTCAAGATGGAATGTCAGTTTGAATCTATTCTCATTGAATGAGCCTGGATATAGGTCTCAAGATAGGATGCCCCAAAATCTTGGCTCTTTATATTGCCATCGTGGGTTTGGCACTTTTACCTGATAAGAGGGAAAATACACAATTCGAATAGTTAATCATCATTTTTCCCAAAAACACTTGATATAAATCTGGTATACTGACGTATACTCCATTTTCAGACCCACGTTGCTCATCATTTGAACCTTGGCCCGTCTCAATGGAGCGTTATATGAGCCAGGTCCAACCCCCCCTTATTACTTTTTAGTAACAGGGTGGCAAAAAGGACCTCGCGTAAGCAAAACGCTGGTGTGCGCAAGCCCACGTAAGCATCAGCGTAAGCTATTCCTGCGCGTATAACCATATTATGGGTATGATTATGAGAATAGCAACCACAAGTTAAGATATAAGCCCTACAACTACGGTTACTGTGTGACTATGTATAACCAGAAACTGTGACTTGGGTTGATAAAACTTGGATAAACTTGGGTAATTTGATAGCCAAAAGTTAGGGGATCATGGCCCCTTTTTTCGGAAGTCTTGCTGCGAATGTCGTTCCTGGCCGTGAGGTTCTGGTTTCAGTCCCTGAGAGTGCGAGCCGCATGGCGTTTGAGACGTACATCCAGCGAGCTGGTTTGGAGGAGGCGACACTTTGATACCTCAGCGCGACACGTGATGTCTTTTTTCTTTCAAGTATCAAACATCCAAAGTTATCAACTATAATTATATCTCTGTATATTTGGATATCTAGATGATAGTTACATCACAAAAATATCAATTTATATCAGTTAAACAAACCCTTCAGAAATACGATGCTGAAAATCATGTGAAATCCCCACGAAATCAGGACGCAGTCGTCGCCCTCGACGAGAAGGCCATCGACAAAATGGTGGCGTTCTGGGTCAAAACCCTAAGTCATTGCTGGTTAATGGATGGTTCTTCCCCCAAATATGGTATAGATAATAGGTTTTGACCCATCCCCATATCTATAGTTTTATATCTATATTATCTATATAGAATGGGCTAGCGCCCAGGTGCCGCCGACCCCCCTTTATTTGGGGGGACTGTGGAGAGAGAGAGAGAGAGAGAGAGAGAGAGAGAGAGAGAGAGAGAGAGAGAGAGAGAGAGAGAGAGAGAGGAGAGGGAGAGATGGATGGATGGATAGATGGATGGGGATGGATGGATGGATGGATGGATGGATGGATGGACGGATGGACGGATGGATGGATGGATGGATAGATAGACAGACAGACAGACAGGTAGACATGTGAATAGATGATAGATTGATGGATAGATAGAGGGATAGAGAGAGAGAGAGAGATAGATTGATAGATAGGTAGATAGACAGCTTGATAAACAGGTGGATAGATATTGTTGGACAGATGTATAGATAGAGGGACAGAGAGAGAGAGAGAGGGAGAGAGAGAGAAAGAGAGAGAGAGAGAGATAGATGACAGATAGGTAGATAGACAGTTGGATAAACAGATGGATAGATCGATTGTTGGATAGATAGATAGTGTCTGCAATACGCGCAAGGACGAACAGAAATTTTCTGCGGCGACGTGGAAACGGGCACGCAATGGCGGCAGAGTGTGCTTGGATTGTTCAGGTAAAGCATGGGGCTGGGGGAGATGTCGCATATGCCACGTAAAACAAGCAGCGTGTGCTTTTAAAGCGTGGCTAGCGCAAAATCGGTCGTACAATGGTGACCAAGTCTGTAGCAGCTGCTGGAAATTACCTATTCCTCGGGAAAGCATCAGCAAAGCAGTGCAACGGGTAGCTGCAACGCAGGCAAAAGTAGCGGAAAAGGCGGCGCACGCGAAAAAGGCACGTGCCATCGCCGATGTCTGGGCAGCCATTGCGACAAGAAAACGGAGTAGAGACCAGGACAGCGAGGAAAGGAGGGAAGCAGAGCCGAGAGCGACAGAGCGCAGACAAGACGATGGAACAGAAAAGACCACAGAAGGGCCTGAGGATGTGCGTGGCAAAGAGGAAGACAGCAACTGGACGGAGAAGGGGGTGTGCCTGGCGGATGGCTGGGCTGCCACCGAGGAACGAAAACGGAAAAGAGAACAGGATATCGCCTACATGCAAGAATCTCCACCGCAGGCAAAGCAACGTAAAGAAGACGACGGAAGAGAAAGGGCGACAGATGCACAAGCAGAAACGAGCTGCGGACAGCAGAAGAATGCCAGCGTGACGGAAAAGGTGAGGGCAAATGCAGCAAATGCGAAAGCCCTGAGTTTCCAATATGTTTGTCCTGCTTGCCAGAAGTCCTTGAGGAGCAGGATACGCACAGGCGAGGTAGATCACCGGCGTGCATGCGGTAACCGTTTCCAGGTGAGGGACGGGCAGGTCGTTGCGAAAGCGTATGTGTACATTTGCCCTGCTTGCAAAGGAAATGTGGTCAGTGATGTGAAGACAGGGAAAATAGACCATCGAACGGTTTGTGGGACCCAGTTTTCTGTGAAGGACGGCGTTGTCAACGAGAAAGCGTATGTTTATGTTTGCCCCGGGTGCGAAGGGAATGTGGCTAGTGACATGAAGACAGGGAGAATAAACCATCGAATGGTCTGTGGGACCCAGTTTTCTGTGAAGGACGGCGTTGTGCAAGAGAAAGCGTATGTGTATGTTTGCCCCGGGTGCGAAGGGAATGTGGCTAGTGACATGAAGACAGGGAGAATAAACCATCGAATGGTCTGTGGGACCCAGTTTTCTGTGAAGGACGGCGTTGTGAAAGAGAAAGCGTATGTTTATGTTTGCCCTGCTTGCAAAGGGAATGTGGCCACTGATGTGAAGACAGGGAAAATAGACCATCGAACGGTCTGTGGGACCCAGTTTTCTGTGAAGGACGGCGTTGTGAAAGAGAAAGCGTATGTTTATGTTTGCCCCGGGTGCGAAGGGAATGTGGCCAGTGATGTGAAGACAGGGAAAATAGACCATCGAACAGTCTGTGGGACCCAGTTTTCTGTGAAGGACGGCGTTGTGAAAGAGAAAGCGTATGTTTATGTTTGCCCCGGGTGCAAAGGGAATGTGGCCAGTGATGTGAAGACAGGGAAAATAAACCATCGAACGGTCTGTGGGACCCAGTTTTCTGTGAAGGACGGCGTTGTGAAGGACACAGGTAGGAAATGACAGGCGTGAACCCCGAGAAGATTGGCCTTGGGGCAGCTTGAAACGTTGAAAGGCCGGCAAATGACAGGGTGACCGCCAAGAAGCAGCCATTGATGTATGTGGCCTTGGGGTGCCGGTGGGGTAAGGTACCTTAAGCATGTGGGGGGTGGCACCAGCAGCTTCCACGCCCATAGGGAGCTATGGCTGTGGCCTTGTGGTGGCTCATGGGGTTGCTTTTGCTGCTGTGGTCTGGCAAACGGCATGCAATGAAGGTATCGGATTTGTGACTGCTGGGTAGAAGTGTTTAGAATGTACCAGATTCGCAGTTGCAATTCCAGCTACCTTCTACGAAACATTTTTTGTTTTACACATGATGTCGCTACATTCCCACACAACACATGGCCCTATCAACAGGGAGCCTCTAAACAAGGGTCAGAATGTGGTGAAGAATGGTAGAATGTGTCCCCTACATCTCACACAACATATTGTCCCATCAACAGGGAGCCCCCAAACAAGGGTCAGTGCGGTCAAGAATGTCAGAATGTGTCCATTAACATTCTGTCCATTCAAGTAGACGGAGAAAAATTGGTTTTGATGCACCACTGTAGGGAGTTTCCCAGTATGTTGGGATACCCTGTTGCGGCCCGTCATGGATCCGCGGTGCGACATGGCGTGCGCTCAAAACAAGCGCGACGGCAGACCGCAGCGACCACATACATCGTCATTCAACGGGCGTCGCTGGTGAAAGAGGTTGTGGAAAACCTGGGTAGAGTTGCCATTTGGTTTCTTTGGCAGATCCCAAAGCGTATACCATCCGCATTGTACACACATACGTGAGTGTAATCACATGCGAGCTAATGGGTTTAGGATGAAATATGTTTTAGCTGTTTGAAGTCCGCATTTCCGACAATGGAATGAATCCTCACCCTTGGCACAGAAGGAAGTCCTGATTTAACAGGTTTACTGCGTCTGAAGATGGGACATTGTCCCCGAGTGGCATTCTAATTGGGAATATGATTTTGACTGTTAATGTTTTGGCAACCCCACAGAACTGGCAGGAAACTTGAAGTTTTCCAAGATCAAATTTCGATTCCTGGATCTTGTAGCAACTGCACTTTAAACTATTGGCTCCATGTTAACCACGAGTTCACTGGCTCAGCATTGCGTTTTTTGGAGCAGAGCATGTCCAAACGAAAATGGGCGTGATGAAACATCCTCAGCCAACGGGACATATTTCAGATCAGATGCGCTTGTTTGGGCGTTTGTCAACAGTATTTTTTTTTGACACTGGCAGTTCAACGCCAGTGCCGTCGAGAAGGCAGCAAGACCAAGGAGAAATTGGCACAGGCACAAAGAAAACAAACGATGTGGAGGCATAGCTCTGTGCGAGATAGGTGGCCTAAATATGTTAAGACAAGGTTAAGCAGCAACAAACAAAACTTACTTCTTGAGTCTGCATGCCAACCATGAAAAGCCATGAGCAGCCGCAAAGGAGGGGAAAGAGGGGACCGGCTCAGTATAATCTGGAGCAACGCGTGGAGGAACTGAAGAAGGCCACTTTGGAGGGCTGAGTGTTTTAGAATAGAATAGAAGCATTCGATGCTAGGGCTAACACAAGAGACACCTTGGAAGTCATAGTGTTCTGAGTGCCAACAGGCGTCACATGGACTAAACAAAGGTAGTACATATTGATGTGATGACATGGGTATATCTCTGAAGGCAATGCCTGTCCATGAATCACTGATGTTCAGGTGGAAAAAAAGTTCTGGGGAAAAAGTACCTACAGAGGAGTGGTGCGTATGTTCAAGATCAGTGCTGCTGTTGGCAAGAGGAACCACAAAAAGGACTACATGTCCTGGTGGAAGGAGGCTGCTTTTGCAATCAAACCTTCCAGGCAAGCTCTAGGGCCATACCTGGATTTTGTCACATTGCCAAACCGACGTACACATGGCTGCATGCATGATGCAGATTTGTTGCCAACATGATGACAGGCTTTGTGCTGAGATTTTTTGGATGCGACGGCATCAAGTGCCTATTGAACAGTGCGAGCAGTTGGACTTCCTGGAAACCAGACACGAGACTTGGCTCCAAGAGCCTTTTTCCCAAGCATGTCTGAACTCAGGGTTCTTCTAAAAGTAGATGTCTGCTATACATCTTTGCATGTTCACACTTTCAGATTCACATCTTTACTTTTGCTCATCTTCACCTTTCATTTTTTACATTCTCAGTTCTGTGTGCCTCCGCTCACAACTTCATTCTCACTGTCACATTTGCTCATCGTATACCCTCACTTCTTCAACTCTCCAGAGCTTCCATATTTTGACACATCTTCTCTTCTCTCCCTCTCTCTCCCTCTCTTTGTCGCTTGCTCTCTCTTTCTCTCTCTCTCTCTCTTTCTCTCTCTTGCTCTCTTTTTGGCTTGCCCTCTGTCATGGTGTCTCTCCTTTTTCCTTTCGTATCTATAAGGTGTCTACTAAGGTATCTGTCTGCAGGACTCTGCATGCTGCAGTTGTGTGAGTCTGCGATTCGGTGTAAGGAGTTGCCAGTTGGAGGAGACACCTTTTTCCAGATCATATCTTTGGACCTGGAGGGTTCGAATTGCTTTGGACCTGACGTGTTTTGACTGTAGCCTCTCCTGTACCCGAACAAAATGCATGCAGATTATACCACCCTTCCTTGTCGCCGAGATCCGGAACCCTTTTTTGATGCTGGACAACATGGACTACACGCTTGCTAGAGCACTGCATGGATCAGATGTGCACAGCGTTACCAAGAGCCACTGGCCGTGATTTGGACCATGGCCAGCTTCAGATTTTGGAACACATTCGTCTTGAAATGCCGATGTTTTTTCAGGGCTCT